CACGATTCGAGCCATTAATCAGTGCCATATCAGGACTAAAAAAGCTATGATACTTGCCCGATATGCTTTATTTCGACCAGTGTATGGTGTAATAACTTGCGCGAGGATGAAATCATCATCACTTGCAAGGTACATCTCTAATCCCGATATGCTTAAAGCCTATCAGTTAATCTTCAGATTCTTTTCATAGACATATCAGGCACCCGATATGTCTATTACTTAAATATAAAAAATTTCAGATATATTTAAGGTCTATAGGTTTGCCTTCAGCTTCATTTTATGACATATCGGTACCTGATATGTCTATTATTAGTCTACAAATATTCACTTCTCGGTATGTCTTAGTTCGACCTGTGTATAGTAACAGGAAGTTTTTTGGAGTTAATATCACCTAAGTGTTGCTACGCGGCACATGGACATTAACTCCGAAAATGTGTTACAAATCTGCTGATATGTTGTATGAGACGCGTGAGACGCGTATGGCGTTATTCGAAACTAACGTGCTATTTTTAAAAGGCATGAAATAATGCTCACGCCCAATAATTCGAGAACTTTGGTAATAATAACAAATAAGTTTTATACACGTTGTAAATATATTCTTTAATTAGTAATTAGAGTATTTCAGGTTTACTAGGAACGTTTATAGTTGAAAAATTAACATAATTATTTTGTTCGGAATAAAAACAATGGTATTATAGTTCATAATTGAAAATTCTTTGAAAAATTATTTTAACAATAACAATTATTATAACACACCTATGGTGTTTTACACATATTATATATGTTTTTGTTATATTTTTTATACTTTTCTAAGTTTTGTATATAAAATTTTTAACATTAGGGTTAGTGATTAGAGCTAGGTTAGGTTTTTTTTAGGGGCGTAGAGAATTTTTACTTAGAATACCTCAAACTGATTAATTAGATGGTTTTGTGATAATGTATACATAGGTGTAAACCACTGTAAGTGCGTTTTAATAAAAGTTAATAACAATTATTTTTTCGAAATAAAAAAACAATGTTATTATAGTTCATAATTGAAAATTTAAACTATTTAAAAGCAATAGTTGTAGCAGGTTGTTTAACCATTTTTAGCAGCATTGATAATCGAGTATTTCAACAACGTTATAAAGGTTGTTCTCAGTATTTAAATTACTAATGAATTTAAATTTGTTTATGTAAATAATTGATATAAAAAGTTGCTTTACCAAGCTTAAAACAATTCAGTAGAAACAAAATTCTGTGACGAACTAATATTTAGATCTGACACTTTGAAACATATAATGTTAGTATAAAAATATATTTATTAATTCACTAAAAACGTAAAAAACAACCACACGTCACTCTGGTTATGTTGACATTTTTTTTGAAACATCAGTAAAAAAATTCAAATTGCCGCTACAGTGAGTTATACCGACAATTCATATTAAATTTGAAAATAAAATCCGATGTAAAAAGATTTTACGATGATATCGTTATACCCAGATGTCGGTAAACCAGAATGACATGTATTCATGTAAACAACTTCCACATAAAAGCAATTTCATATTTCATATAAAGCAACTTCATATTAACATCTTTGTACTAAAAAAAAAAAAAAACAAAGGACTTATTTTGGTTTAAAAATATGAGCATTAATCAAAGCTTTCAAATAACAATCAAACCCAACTTTGTGGTTTTCATTGCTGAATAAAGAAAGAAATCAGATCTGTTAATGTAACAACATCTTTCACATGTCGCTTGTCATCAATGATCCAAACACGATGAATCCTATTAACGGTGAGAAGTTTCAGCGCCATTTCCAACGAAGTTTCCGGTGTAGCAGTGACTGGTTTTAAGAGATTCTCGCAATTACTGAGTTTCTTTTTGATAATGAAGATAATAAGTTTAAAGTAATAGAAACAATTTTAATGCAGAATGGCGAAGGATTTGTGAGCTTACAGCTAAAAATTCAAGAACCGGTAAAACAAGGTTATCTATAGATTCATAGCTTAACCCACGAAGATCTGATGCAGAAAGGTTTCCGACTAATTCATGCTCACTGTAAAGAGAATTTTAGTTATAGAAGTGCTCAATAAGAAAGATAATTAGAATTAATAATATGAAGATTACCTATTAACGATAGCAATTCCTATTAGTCTATTTTCGGCCAATCCTCGATACACATTCAAGGCACTCTCATTATCATGGCCAATAACTATTTCCCGATCTCTGATCAGACCAAGTGAGCGCAATGACGATTTAAAATCAATGGTGGGTAAGCATTCCGGATGTGCTTGAACATATTTTATGACATCTGACTGAGTTAAGATAAATGGAGGTACTTTATTGTCGTAATCAATAACTAGAGATCGATGAAGTCTTTTTGAGAACTTTTCGAGAGTCTATGATAGAAATAAAACATGCAATTATTGCAAAACTTTATCAAACAATAAAAGTAGAACATTATATTATATTTACTTTTTTTATACCCTCATTTGCATCTGTCTTAAAGATTCTGTAGCTTTCTTGATCACTGTCTAGCGTCATAACAGTCTCAATTTGTTTATCCAAATTACGAGCTTTTTCGCTATGTATCGAAGAAGGCAATTTTTCATCAGATACTGCTTCTTTAATAATATAATTAAGAATATCGATAATATTGACTATCGTAACGATATTGTCCGAATCGTGAGAATAAATTGGTAAAGAAACAATATTATTATCGGCCATCTTTCGTAAAGCTTCTCGAACGGTAATTGTTGGACGCTCAACAACTAAGGAGGGCTTGCTTGTCACCTCACAGATTTCAGTAGGAAGCAGTTCAACTAGATTTGACGGCATTATGTAGTAATGAAAACTTTAAAACGATTCTAAAGATATGGGAATAATTTTTTTTTAAAAAAAAGAAAATGTTATAAACAAAATAACGCTAATTCTTAAATATATAACCCTAACATGCAATCTTCGAAAATCTCCGAATTGCCTGTTATCATTTGACCTTGTCAAACGAAATGGCGTAAATTGTAATACTATAACCGGTAGTATATCTGGTTTATATATAACCTATGTAATTATACCACAAAAAATTTTCCAGTCACATGACTTTATCGTGGCGCAAACCAATTGAATTTCAGG